TGTGCTACATGTATTTTCTAACACAAAAATCCCAATACGTGTAAATTAATTGGTTTCTGTGAAAGTTATAGCGTCTACAAATAGCAGTATTATATATTTATTTATTTCAGGTACTTATATAGCGCCGTCAATTTACGCAGCACTTTACATATATATTGTACATTCACATCAGTCCCTAACCCTCAAGGGGTGTGCAATCTAAGGTCCCTAACCCTCAAGGGGCGTACAATCTAAGGTCCCTAACTCACATTCATACATACACATACTAGGGACAATTTAGACAGGATCCAATGAACCTACCAGCATGTCTTTGGAGTGTGGGAGGAAACCGGAGTACCTGGAGGAAACCCACGCAGGCACAGGGAGAACATGTAAACTCCAGGCAGATGGAGCCGTGGCTGGGATTTGAACCAATGACCCGAGTACTGCCAGGCAGAAGTGCTAACCATTTAGCCACTGTGAGATATGATATTAACAGTATTTATATAGCGCCAAAGGGTATGCTCAGTGCTGTACAATAGCAAGGGGGATATAACATGAGACAAGACAGTAACAACACAATACATGAGGGGTTCGAGGGCCCTGCTCTTTCGAGCTTACAATCTAGGAGGGAGGGGAAGGTGGCACAGGAGGAGATGGCTGTGGGGGATGGAGTGGTGGGTGGAGTGGAGGAGTTAGTTGTCAGGTGAGGTTGGGTGTTAGGTGAGGATGGGGTAAGCTTCCCTGAAGAGATAGATATATATACTGGAGTTTCTTATTTATACTAGTAATGGTGGCGATCAGCGACTTATAGAGGGACTGCGGCAGGCATTATGACATGGGGGGAACTAACTACCACTGATACTACAGTGATCAGTACCAAAAAAAAAAACCTCTGACACTGTACTAATGACACTGGGCAGGAAGGGGTTTACATCTGGGTGATCAAAAGGTTAACTGTGTGCTGTTTTACTGTATGGGTTTTTCTAGGGAGACATGCTGCTTTGTATTTCTATGCTGTACAGAGTAGCACTTCCTGAAGACGCCGCCGCCAGGTGAAGCTTGATCCCGTCACTTCTGGGTCCTACATGACGTCACGTCCAGCTCGATAACATAAGGCTTGGAACGCACGGCGGCTAAATATAGAGAGATGTTGTCCCCACATTGGCTGTACAGACTGGTGCCGAAGATACAGGCACCATACAACACGAGTGCATTTTTAACCTAATTTATGAACCATGGTTCCCAATAAACACTAAATTTAGAGCACATTTTATGGATTTTTTTTCTATTTTGAGCTTCTTCAACAGCTACTACTACTACAAGGGAGCCTTGAGACCCACCATATGAGAGCCTACAGTTGGGAATCTATATGCCATTTGATTATCCTAGTGAGTGGGGGTCACCACCTTCCGGGGAGTGGGGAATTCATTCACTATTCACAAGTGGTGGAGAAGAACCTATTGGATCAATGTGACACCCTCCTATGGGACTCTCATTCATTTACATTTTCTGGACTTCACCATACCCTGTATTAGATTCACTATTATATGTGGTGTTGAGAGAGCACTTTATACATGTTACATGACACATATGTATGTGTTGTAATTGTATTGAGCAAATGCCTGCCTAGTCCTGCTTTTGGTATTTAGAGCGTATTCACTTAATAGGGGCAGCTGCCACAACTGCTTTATTGTCCGAACTTATAGCTTCATTTTAGTACATTAACCCTTACAAGGTCACACAGGCGCCACAATGTTGTTCTTTTTGATTTATGCACTTTGTGAATGGGCTGCAGAAGTGGAAGAGGGTACCTGTCAAAACCAGGTACCCCCCCACCTTCCCCACACAGGTGCCAAATGTGGAACTCCACTTTAAGTAGTTTTTTGCAGTCTTCTTGAGTATCGTGACACCAAGGGGTTTATTTACTAAAGCTGGAGAGTGCAAAATCAGACTCCCTTCTGCATAGAAACCAATCAGCTTGTAACCTCAGCTTGTTCAATGAAGCTTTGGCAATGAAACCTGGAAGCTGATTGGTTTCTATGCAGAAGTGAGTCTGATTTTGCACTCTCCAGCTTTAGTAAATAAACCCCCACACATCTATTATGTCTGCTCACTGAGTCACTGGCTCAGTCCAGTATCAGCAGGGGGAATATTTTCCTAGATACACAATACACTTCCTGACACCGTACATCCATTAGGTCAGTCTGGTACTGATGGGGGAATATTTTCCTACACATGACACTTCCTGACACCGTATATATCCATTAGGTCAGTCTGGTACTGATGGGGGAAGGTTTCCCTGGATACACATTACACTTCCTGACACCGTACATCCATTAGGTCAGTCTGGTACTGATGGGGGAAGGTTTCCCTGGATACACATTACACTTCCTGACACCGTACATCCATTAGGTCAGTCTGGTACTGATGGGGGAAGGTTTCCCTGGATACACATTACACTTCCTGACACCGTACATCCATTAGGTCAGTCTGGTACTGATGGGGGAAGGTTTCCCTGGATACACATTACACTTCCTGACACCGTAATCCATTATGTTAGGTCAGTCTGGTACTGATGAAGGAAGGTTTCCCTGGATACACATTACACTTCCTGACACCGTACATCCATTAGGTCAGTCTGGTACTGATGGGGGAAGGTTTCCCTGGATACACATTACACTTCCTGATACATCCTGATGTTATTGGGTCCCCCCTAGTACTGGGATGGAAGAAGGTTTTCTTGGACTCCCAAGATCTTTCCTCACTCCCAGGTTGTGGTCCCCCTGGTACTGGCGGGGAAGGTTTTCCTGGACACACACTACAATTCCTAATACCACATCTATTAAGTCATTGGGTCCCCCTGGTAGTGGGGTTGAGGAAGGTTTTTTTTATTATTCGGACTCTCATGATTATTCCTCACTCCCATTAGGTCAGGTCATTAGGTCCCCCTGGTACTGGTGGGGGAAGGTTTTCCTAGATACACACTACAATTCCTAATCCCGCATCCATTAGGTCATTGGATCCCACTGGTATAGGGGGGAGGGGGGGGGGGATCCCTGGACACACATTACACTTCCTGATACCACATCCAATATGTCATTGGGTCCCCCTGGTACTGGGGTGGAGAAAGGTTTCCCTGGACTCCCATGATCTTTCCTCACTCCCATTAGGTTAGGTCATTGGGTCCCCCTGGTACTGATGGGGGAAGGTTCTCCTGGACACACATTCCTACATCCATCAGGTCATTGGGTCCCCCTGGGGGAAGGTTCTCCTGGACACATACTACAACTCCTGATACCGCATCCATCAGGTCATTGGGTCCCCCTGGTACTGATGCGGGAAGGTTTCCCCTGGACACACACTACAATTCCTGATACTGCATCCAGCAGGTCATTGGGTCCCCCTGGTACTGGTGGGGGAAGGTTTCCCTGGATACACACTACAACTCCTGATACCGCATCCATCAGGTCATTGGGTCCCCCTGGTACTGGTGGGGAAGGTTTCCCTGGACACACACTACAACTCCTGATACCGCATCCATCAGGTCATTGGGTCCCCCTGGTACTGGTGGGGGAAGGTTTCCCCTGGACACACACTACAATTCCTGATACCGCATCCATTGGGTCCCCCTGGTACTGATGGGGGAAGGTTTCCCCTGGACACACACTACAACTCCTGATACCGCATCCATCAGGTCATTGGGTCCCCCTGGTACTGATGAGGGAAGGTTTCCCCTGGACACACACTACAATTCCTGATACCACATCCAGCAGGTCATTGGGTCCCCCTGGTACTGATGGGGGAAGGTTTCCCCTAGACACACTACAACTCCTGATACCGCATCCATCAGGTCATTGGGTCCCCCTGGTACTGATGGGGGAAGGTTTCCCTGGACACACACTACAACTCCTGATACCACATCCATCAGGTCATTGGTCCCCCTGGTACTGGTGGGGGAAGGTTTCCCCTGGACACCACTACAATTCCTGATACCGCATCCATTGGGTCCCCCTGGTACTGATGGGGGAAGGTTTCCCCTGGACACACACTACAACTCCTGATACTGCATCCATCAGGTCATTGGGTCCCCCTGGTACTGGTGGGGGAAGGTTTCCCCTGGACACACACTACAACTCCTGATACCACATCCATCAGGTCATTGGGTCCCCCTGGTACTGGTGGGGGAAGGTTTCCCCTGGACACGCACTACAATTCCTGATCCGCATCCATTGGGTCCCCCTGGTACTGGTGGGGGAAGGTTTCCCCTGGACACACACTACAACTCCTGATACTGCATCCATCAGGTCATTGGGTCCCCCTGGTACTGGTGGGGGAAGGTTTCCCCTGGACACGCACTACAATTCCTGATACCGCATCCATTGGGTCCCCCTGGTACTGATGGGGGAAGGTTTCCCCTGGACACACACTACAACTCCTGATACCACATCCAGCAGGTCATTTGGTCCCCCTGGTACTGATGGGGGAAGGTTTCCCCTGGACACACACTACAACTCCTGATACGGCATCCATCAGGTCATTTGGGTCCCCCTGGTACTGATAAGGGAAGGTTTCCCCTGGACGCACACTACAACTCCTGATACCACATCCAGCAGGTCATTTGGTCCCCCTGGTACTGGTGGGGGAAGGTTTCCCTGGATACACACTACAACTCCTGATACCACACAATGTCAGGCCATTGGGTCCCCCTGGTACTGATGGGGGAAGGTTTCCTTGGATACACACTACAATTCCTGATACCGCATCCATCAGGTCATTGGGTCCCCCTGGTACTGATGGGGGAAGGTTTCCCTGGATACACACTACAATTCCTGACACCACACAAGGTCAGGTCAGTGTAGTACAGGTGGGGGAAGGTTTTCCAGGCACACATTGGACTTCCTCCCTGTGAAATGTGGGGGTGTAGTAAGTACGAGGTGGTTGTACACAGGCAGAGGTCCCCCCAACCCCATGTGCCGACCTCACACACAGCCGATCCGGTCACACAGAGCCCGGCTCACCTCCCCCCGCAGCGCTCCATGCTCCCGCAGGCCCCGGATGGTCTCGGCCAACTCTCCCTCGCTCAGCTCCCTCTCCAGCAACCCGCTCACGACTGCCTCCATCATCCGAACCCCCACACACACCGCCGCCATCTTCCCGCCACCGCCGCCACTAATCCGCGTCATCATCCCGCGCGGCTCAGCCGTGACGTCACTCAGCTGCGGCCGCAGCCATTTCCACTCTGAGATGAGGAAAGTGTGGTAACTGGAGGTCATCCTGGCTGACGGCGGAAGATGATACTGAGCCGAGATACTAGACTTCCATTAGATACAGCTACTTACTACAGCTAGCATAGCAACAGGGGCGGACTGTGACAATTCACGGGGCCCCTGTGTCCTTACACTCAAATCACACCCAAAAAAGCCTATGAAAGGTACTAGGGGTATCTCATTGGGCCCCCTACTGACCCTCCGACAGGGTCCGAATGGTCAGTCCACCCCTGCATAGCAACCGGCATTCTTCCTACAGCCAGTGTTCATGACAACCGGCATTCTTCCTACAGCCAGTGTTCATGACAACCGGCATTCTTCCTACAGCCAGTGTTCATGACAACCGGCATTCTTCCTACAGCCAGTGTTCATGACAACCGGCATTCTTCCTACAGCCAGTGTTCATGACTACCAGTGTTCATGACAACCAGCATTCTTCCTACAACCAGTGCTCCTGACTACCAGTGTTCATGACTACCAGCATTCTTCCTACTACAACCAGTGTTCATGACAACCAGTGTTCATGACAACTGGCATTCTTCCTACAATAAGTGTTCATGACAACCGGCATTCTTCCTACAACCAGTGTTCATGACAACTGGCATTCTTCCTACAACCAGTGTTCATGACTACCAGTGTTCATGACAACCAGCATTCTTCCTACAACCAGTGTTCATGACTACCAGCATTCTTCCTACAACCAGTGTTCATGACAACCGGCATTCTTCCTACAACCAGTGTTCATGACAACCGGCATTCTTCCTACAACCAGTGTTCATGACAACCAGAATTCTTCCTACAACCAGTGTTCATGATGGTTAGCTAGATCCTTTCAATGACAACCAGCATTCTGTCTACAACCAGTGTTCATGACAACCAGCATTCTGTCTACAAGCAGTGTTCATGACAACCAGCATTCTTCCTACAACCAGTGTTCATGACAACTGGTGTTCATGACAACCAGCATTCTTCCTACAATCGGTGTTCATGACAACCAGCATTCTTTCTACAACCAGTGTTCATGACAACCTGCATCCTTCCTACAACCAGTGTCCATGACAACCAGAATTCTTCCTACAACCAGTGTTCATGACAACCAGCATTCTTCCTACAACCAGTGTTCATGACAACCAGCATTCTTCCTACAACCAGTGTTCATGACAACCAGCATTCTTCCTATAACCAGTGTTCATGACAACCAGCACAGTATTGTTACACCTATAGAGTCTCTTTTTCTGAGGTGGACTCACTAGACCAGCCTTTCTCAACCATTTCAGCACTGAGGAACCCTTGAAATAACTTTCTGGTTTCGGAAATGCTAAAAATGACCATATAAGACTATAAAAATAATTATAAAGTACAGTTTAAGAAAGTAGTTGAAACAGCCACCCCAAAGAACAACAGGACCCCCAAGAGATCACCATACAAATATTAAAGGGTCCTTTTTTTTCAAAGAGAATTGCAAGGCTGCCCCCCAAGAAAGGAATGGAGCCCCCTATTGGCAAGCGGGGGGGGGGGGGGAGTAGACAATGGGGAGGTTATCTGGGAAAAATTAAAGAGGAGGACATCAGACTTATCAGGGGGGATGGCATTCCACCTACATACAGACAATAAGTGAGGGAGTTTTGGATGGAGAACAGATACATGGAAGAGAGAAAATTAGGGACTGGTATTTTTGATTTGAGTAGTGCAATTTTAACAGGCTGAAATAAAGGTTTTAGATTTAGGGCTCAAATATTTTCCACGTGAAAATTAAGTTCAATACATATGTTTATTTAGAGAAATTTGTAAGAAAATTGTAAAAAAAAATCTCTGAATTGAATAAAGATAGGATTAAAAATAAGCAGGCAGAGACAGAATAGGAACTTGAGGAATGCATCAGCATTTAATCCGAAGAATGAATTTTTGCATGTAGTTAAGACTATGGTGGAAAATTTTAAAAGAAAGAGCTGTACAAAATTTGGTAAAAATGTCCTGATCCTATAGAAAAGGGGATAAAAGATTTGGAAAGCAAAAAGAACATAATAGAGCTGCAGATAAGAGGGGAGCATCGTAATTTTAGATAGGAAATACTACGAAGAAGAGATGGAAAGGTTGTTATCTATTAAAAACATATAAAAAGTTATCTGGCAATCCAACCAAAAAATCTAAACACAAAAAAAGGGAAGAAATTAAATATATTAACCACAAAAGAAGCAAGATATCTAATTCCAAAGACACCAAAAATTCCCACTATTATCTCTTGAAAATTTGTAAAGACATAAAGAAGTCCCAGGGAGGCCCATTGTTAGTGGTTTTGAGTCTATTTTCTAGAGTGGGAGAATATATAGATGTTTTTTACAAGAGTTGGTGACAAAGAATGATGCTTTTTTAAAGGACAGCGGGGAACTTATAAACTGAAAAAAAAAATACACAGATAACACTGTTCAACAGGTAAAAAGTTTTGGGCATAAAATTAGCTAATCTTACATAATTTTGGGGTGCTGAAAACGAAAATGACCCTAAAAAATGTTGATTGGCTCTAGTTTCCATGATATATTCACCCATCTAATGACGTAAGCCATTCAAAATTATGATGCAACTTCAGCTGCATATTGCGCAATTGATACTGGTGACCAATAGAAAATTGCATGTATACTGAGATGATGCAATATTAGCCTTTAATTGCATCACTTCACTGCATAAAAGCTGCAGTATCTGTAGCTGATTGTAGTTGGACAGCGTCTTTACATTTCGTTTTATGCTTATATAGGCTACTCAGTAATGCCTCGAACTTGTGTGAATAAAGCAGATCATTTCTGCTATATCTGCGGTGAAATAACTTTTATCTCACAAAAAAGGAGGATAACAGGAATGATTAAGAAAGCCTACAACTTGTATTTTGGCTGCAAGATAGGAGACCAGGACAAGAGCTGGGCACCACATATATGCTGCAATTCTTGTGGGACGGCACTGGAGCAATGGTTGAATGGAAAAAAGGCATCTATGCCTTTCGCTGTGCCAATGATTTGGAGAGAGCCAACAGATCATGTTAGTAATTGTTACTTTTGTATGGTGCCTCCAATTGTAAAAGGGCTAAATAAGAAGAAAAAGTTATCTGTGCACTATCCAAATATTCCATCGGCAATACGTCCAGTTCCTCATGGAGAGGGGCTACCAATTCCTAAAGCACCAGAATCCTTCGTGGTTGAGTCAAGTGAGGAAGAACCTGAAGCGTGTAGTCACGTGCAGTTGTAAGAGATAGCCCTTTCCTCGAATACAAGAGAAAAGCCAAGAGAAGCAAAACCGACACAAACTGAAGACAAAACTAGTGAGAATCTTAAGTATTAAAATGATTCAACTTAGCTTATGGCTATAATTTTTCTTGGTAATCCTATGCAATATATTATGCCATTTAGGCTTTTTTATGTAGTCAATATCACTTGCTTTATATTTGTGGAAAGACATCTATCTATATAATTATTGTGCATTATGTAGTCATTACGCCTATAGTAGAAAACTTTCCGTTTACAGAAAAACTAGAGCCAATTGACAAATTTCATTGTTATATTTGAACTCAGAATGTGAAATTCATTAAGAAATGGATCCTTTTGTTTCCAAAACTGGCAAAAAAAATAAAAATTTGTTGAACAGTGTAATTGTTTTATAGTTACAGTGGATTTGAATTCCTTGTATACCAGTATAGATCAGAATGATAGCATTGAAGCAGTACAATGGGCATTAGCATTAGATACAGTTGCAAGAAAAAGTATGTGAACCCCTTGGGATTACGTGGAGTTTTGCATGAATTGGGCATAAAATGTGCTCTGAACTTCATCTAAGTCACAACAATAGAAGAACACAGTCTGCTGAACATAATACTACACAAACATTAGATGTTGACATGGTTTAATTGCACATAACATGTAAACATTCACAGTGCAGGGAGGAAAAAGTATGTGAACCTTTGGACTTAATAACTGGTTGACCCTCCTTTGGCAGCAATAACCTCAACCAAACGTTTCCTGTAGTTGCAGATTAGACCTGCACAACGATCTGGAGTCATTTTGGACCACTCCTCTTCACAAAACTGTTTCAGTGTAGCAATATTCTTGGGATGTCTGGTGTGAATCGCTCTCTTAAGGTCATGCCACAGCATTTCAATCGGGTTGAGCTCAGGACTCTGACTGGGCCACTCCAGAAGGCGTATTCTGTGCTGTTGCAGCCATTGTTTTGTTGAATTACTTGTATGCTTTGGGTCATTGTCCTTTTGCATCACCCATCCTCTGCGGAGCTTCAGTTGGCGGACAGATGGTCGTACGTTTTCCTGCAAAATGTCTTGATAAACTCTGGAATTCATTTTCCCATCAATGACAACAATCCGTCCAGGCCCTGAGGCAGCAAAGCAGCCCCAAACCATGATGCTCCCTCCGCCATGTTTTACAGTGGGGATGAGGTTTTGATGTTGGTGTGTTGTGCCTTTTTTTCTCCACACATAGTGTTGTGTGTTCTTCCCAAACAACTCAATCTTGGTTTCATCTGTCCACAGTATATTTTGCCAGTAGTGCTGTGGAACATCCAGGTGCTCTTTTGCAAACTTCAAACGTGCTGCAATATTCTTTTTGGACAGCAATGGCTTCCTCCGTGGTGTCCTCCCATGTACTCCATTCTTGTTTAATGTTTTCCTTATTGTAGATGTGTCAACAAAAATGTTAGCATGTGCCAGAGATTTCTGTAGGTCTTTAGCTGACACTCTGGGATTCTTCTTTACCTCATGCAGCATTCTGCGCTGTGCTCTTGCAGTCATTTTT